AAAAAAAAAAAAAAAAGATTAAGCTTTCCTAGATAAGTAAACCTTGGTATCTTACCTTCACTCATTGAAGTTCAGTGTAAATTGAAATAGCACAGAATGCACTCCGTTATGAGCGGAGCCTAAGAATCTTCCAAGATATGCTCCAAGAAACACCTAGAAATCCAATTTCTGAATCAAAAATCCATGCCCTTACCAATCTAAATCCAACAGTAACCTAAAACATCACACTCTAATCCTACCTTCACCTCCCAAAAATTGAAACCAAAACATTCAATTCCACAACAAACAAGAACAAACTCAACACATATTGAGCACACGAAATCAAATTCCATAACAGAATGCAAAAAAACAAATCAAAGAGCAGCAGTTACCCGAAGTGTGAATCGCTCTACGCCTGGCGGGAATCCCGGGGGACAAGCGAAGGACACGGAAGGAAAACGGGGCGGGAAACTCCACGGAGAAGATGGAGAGACAGTAGGAAACGGGCTTCTTGAGAATACGCATGGTGAATTTAAATAGACATTTGAAAGGGCAAGGGGAACAGTGAGTGGAGAAGGAGAACCTGATGCTGAAGAATACGAAGATGTGCGATTGGGAAAGGTAGGAAATGCAGAGTTGCAACTACGAGAGCGTGCATCAAAATTGCGATAATAATTATGGTTTAATCCGGTGTTTGGCAAAAAGGAAAAGGGATTATTCTGGCGGGAATAGGAACAGAGGTATTCATTGGTTGTGGGTGGAGGTGGTGGTGGTGGTGGTGGGACTGACGGGAGCAGAGGGAATTAATTCCTTACCTTCCCTCTGCGAACTGTATTTTTGTAGTGAGTGGGGACTGGGGCGTAGGGGCTGTTAGTAGGGAGAAGACAATGAAAGGACGTTTAGGGAACTGTGGGTGAGTGGTGAAGAAGATTTTGCATAAAAAAGGATGAGGATGACGTGCCACGTGTTGGTTTGTGTAGTTTGTTGTGGTGGTCACCCAGACACCCACTGTTCATCTCTAGGTCAATAAAACTGCAAATATTGAGCGTAATTTACTCGGAGGCCTGGCAAGCCCACACTCCGTTAATTTTTATTTTTTTTTACTAATTTTGTAATATTTAAAAATTATATTAAATTTAATTATTATTTTTTTACAAGAATAATAATTAATAATTAAATTAAAAATGATTAATAATTTGAGATTTGATCTCAAAACAAGTGATCTTTCACTTTTTCATTGAAACGTGTGACCCATCGAATCGCATCATGTTGTTTAAATTAATTTAAAATATAAAAAAAACTCTTTTTTATTTTTTTTTATAAAATTTATATTTAAAATTTTATTTAAAAAAATTAAAATTCTTCCGTTCAAATCAATAAAAGATTGATCATTCTTTAAATTTATTTTTCTTTTATTATCGTTTTTTTAATTTTTGAAATAGGACAATTTGGGGAAATGAAAATTGGATTTGTTGAGTTAAACACACGTCCATAAAAGGTGACCTGCATTTGACCTGCATTTAAATCAAGGGTCATGGTCTTGGGTAAGAACGCGAAGTTCGTTTATTATTGTTAAAACAAGAATTGGTGGCTTAATTTAGACATATTGTATGGGAAATTCTAACCTGTATTTTAATAAAGAATTAGTCACTTAAGATATATTTATTATATTTTTTATAATTGATTTGTATTAAAAAATAAAAAATAATTTTAATTTTATTAATTAATTAATTAATAATATTTATATAACATTGATGATAAAAATTAATATATATTTTTTATTTAAATTAAATATAATTAATATTTTTAAAAATAATATTTTACAAAATATAACGACCACGACATTAACAATAATGGACATAATGTTGACAAAAAAAAATAATAACAATAATGATGGACATAATCTCAAATTATAGGTCCAATCAAGATCGAAATGGAATTGGAACATTTCGAGTATCAATCAAGGTCAAATTACGGGTCCAATCAAGACCGAAATGAATTTTTTTTTTTTTTTTTAACAAATAGACAAGGGTGGGTTCAAATCCCCCATGGGAAGGGTAGTGTACCTCCAAGATACCCCAAAAGCTATTTGACTCAAAGGGTTAAGTGCAGATCAAAATGAATTAATGCAAAAATGTTTTTGGAATTTTATAATTTAATTTCTCTTCTAATATCATATTCTTAAAAATAATCATATCACCAATTAGACAATTACTTATTAATTTGAATGGGAAGAGCTCAATTCTTTTTAGATAAACTTTTAGATTCCAATTTTATTAGTAAAAAAATAAATATTAAATTTCATTTTTATAAGATCTAAATTAATACGATTACTGAATCCGAATAAAAATAATCATATCACCTTAGTTGACCTGTGTTATTCCATCTAACAGTCTTGTTTGTCAGTGGAGCATTAACAATTGGATGATTTTATCACCACCATAAAAAATTTTCGCACTTTTACCATGCTGAGTTCGAATTTATACTCTCTATTCGAATCTTCAGATTCTGATTGAGGTGGACATCTGGGTTCTCGTGGTTCGACGGGTTCCAGGCAACAAAAATAACCCATCCATCCAAGAACTTGGCATTCATGCCTTCTCTTGAGTGTTGCCTTCTCAGCTTCCTCTATGGTTATGTACGTAAGAAAATCGAATAAAGGTGCAAATAATGATTCCAATTTTACACTTTTTTCTATTGAAAAATGTTAATTTTATCAGTTTCTAAATAAAGATGTCAATTTTTAATTTTTTCTAAATAAAAATATTAATTTTATCAGTTTCTAAATAAGGATATCAACTTTCAATATTTTCTATTTAAGGATGTCAACTTTCAACTTTTTCTATTTAAAGATTAATTGAATAGTGATATTGATGTAGCTAACATATTTTTTTAGGTTAAATATCTGAATTGGTCCCTCAACTTTTATTTTTGAACCAATTCATCCTTGAACTTTAGAAAGTACCAAAAACATCCTTCAACTTCAATTTTCAATTTCGTCTTTCCGTCAGTTAAATGTTGATGTAGCTAATTTTTTTGCTAAGTGATTGACTATTTTACATTTTCAATATTAAGTGAAAAATCCATCATGTAAAAGATGATTATGTGTATTTTTTTAATTTTAAATAATTTATAAACTACTATAATTCTTAATTTTACTTTATTTATATTTAAAAATTAAAACAATTAATATATTTTCCCACTTAATTAGTCCCACCTACCATTTAATAAAATTAAATAAAATTTAATTAATTCTTCCATGAATTAGGAAATAATTTTATTAATTGAAAATTGAAGTTGAAGGACGTTTTTGGTACTTTTTGAAGTTCAAGGATGAATTGATTCAAAAATAAAAGTTGAGGGACCAATTTAGGTATTTAATCTAAAAAATATATTAGCCACGTAAGCATCATTATTCAATTAATCTTTAAATAGAAAAAGTTGAAAGTTGACATCCTTAAATAGTAAAGGTTGAAAGTTGACGTCCTTATTTAGAAACTGACAAACTTAACATCCTTATTTAGAAAAAATCAAAAATTGACATCCTTATTTAGAAACTAATAAAGTTAACATTCTTAAATAAAAAAAAAGTGTAAAGTTGGAATCCTTATTTGCACCTTTACTCTAAGAAAACCAAACCTCATTGGTCTTCTAGTGGCTCTAAGTAAGCCAAATGTGTAAATTATTCTTTAAAATTATTGTGTTAAAGTAAATTATTATTTTAAAAAATATTAACCGTAGTTTATCACTTTAATTTTTTATTTTCAAAAAATTAACTTAACTTTAATAGTTTCTGTTAAATTTTATTAAACAATTATCTTAAATTTTAATGAAAAATTAACTGCAACTTAAATTTAAATTAATTTTTTTGAAAATAAAAATTTTAAATAACAAATTATGCCAATACTTTTTTTTTGTAAAATTTTGCTTTAAGGCAACAATTTTAAAGGGTAATTTACACTTTCTACCCTCAAACCATTCTAACACTGGCTGAAACAATACGAAGGAAATAAATCCTGAGGATGAATAGATGTCTATTAATTCACACATCATTATTTAGTTTTTAAAATTCTGAAATAATTCAAAATTGTCCGAAAGGTACAGACATTGTTTATCTTAACTTCGGAAAATAAAAACTTCTTTTACATGAATATAACAAGTTTTTATAACAGTTCATCTAGTCTTCCTTGAAAAAAAAATCCATTTTACAATTTTAGGAACCTAATAAAATTCAAAAAGATGATAAAATGACCAAAAAAACAAAATAAGTAAAAAGTTACAATAATTTACTCACTTTTTTTTAAAATAACTATCATTTTTTAGTTTTTTAAAATTAAAAATTTTAAGACAACTCACATATTTATTTATATTATCTTTAAATAAAAGTTAAAAAATAAAAAATTATAATAAAATAATTAATTAAAATAAATAAATAATAATAAGACTAAAATTAAAAAAATATTTATCTATTTTTAAAATTTTTTTAAAAAAGACATAATTTAAAATAAATTTAAAGCACAAAACTAATTATTTTAGACTATAAGAAATACAGAGAGAAAATAAAACAATAAGATAAACACATGATACAACTTTTAGACTAGATAAAAAATCAAAGCATTCCATTTTAGGAAAAGCACAATTACACTGATCTTTTAGCTAGAAACCCCTACTTTTACAATTCTTTTAAACATTTTTTTTTACATAATCCAAGAAACATCTAAAGATGAAAGTACACAAAATTCCTTGCAACATGCATGCATGATAAAAGGTCAGCATGCAGTGTTTTCCTTTGTTGTTGTTGCTCTTGTCCTTTTTCCTACAGCCTGCCCTCTTGGGCTCTTAATCCAGATTGTACAGACAACAATGCGGTGTTTAAACCAGTACCATGTCAGCTGCCGGTACTCGAAAGAAGAGAAGGGAAAGGACGAGGAAAAAGTTTTAAGATGGAAACAATTTTCAAAGGGAAGAAAGGAAAAGCCAAGAGAATTAAAACTAGTTCCAAGTCCAATCTATTCTACAAAAACTTTCTGGTAGACATGAACAAAAGTCATTCCGATATCTGCTGCACCTCTTTTTCTAGCATTGATGTTCCCTTGAAGATTGTCAGCTGTAGCTGGCGTTGGTACTTGCACAGCTGTACAGAGATTGAGTTCAGAATTATTAGTACTTTTCCACTGCCAAGTAAAAAATGCGTCATAATTCATAAACGGTATTAACTGCATCAAAATTGTTTTATCAAGAGAAGGGGATTAAGGCAAATTATGGAAATAGAAGAGTTGAGTAGTTAATGTAATCAGAAAATTTTTTTCAGTCCAGATTGTGAAAGTATTTAAATACCTTTACTGAATAAAAATCATAAAGGGTGTTTTGGTATTTTCATAGCCCGGACTGCACTTTTTTTTGCGCACCATTCTCTAACAATTATTGATTATACCCAAAGCTTTGAATTTATGTACTTACTTGCTCCTCACTCATCTTTCTGAAGCCGAATTTCTTTGTCCAGATTGACAAAGCTTCCTCAGCTGCAGGAAGTACCAGGTTTTCCACATTGAGGGAACTTAGTAACCTCTCAATACATGAGAATAATGCCTGGAAATAACCCTATAAACAAAATTTGAAATGCAAAGGTGGCAGAGTTTAACGTTAGTAAAGTATTAGCATCAAACAGATTGGTAGAGAAATATAATTAACAGCTAGATCAGAGCATGTTTCTGGCCTACTTTTCCTTGATGCTCTCGAGTTGTTGCTACTAGAGGAAGCTCAGCAACTTCCCGACCAAAAATCCTAAGGAGACCAGCTGATACAACAACAGACCTGTGCATAGGTTAATATAGACAATGTTAACAACTCAAATAGTCAGCAACCAAATGAAACAAGACAAGAAATCAGCAAAACCCTGGTAAATTCCACCACTCTAACGCAACCCACAAGAAAAAGAAATAGGAAGAGATATACCTCATAATCAAAACCACACAGTACATTCCACCAAACTCCTGGCCAGAAATATTTCGCCTACAATAAGAAGAGAGAACAGATTTAGACCAACCAAACAGCTAATCATTGGAAATAGGAGAACAATGAATGCTCTTAACAGGTAATTGTCCTTCTATGAGCTGATATTCTTGTGGGGACTACTTTTAAATGATACAAGGTTGAATCTAGTTTTATGCTTGCCCAATTAACTACATATAAACTTCATCAAAAGCATGTCTTCCCCACGACAAGAGCGCCCACCAGAGAAAAAACAAGAAAAGTAAACTACGTCTTTGTCACAATTTGTTACAACAAAGTAAGGTTGTTAACAACCATTGCTGCTTTTTACTGAGTATTTTATAACTTCAAGTACTATGACAGCTCAATTGTAGTAAAACCATGTAAAAGGCTAAGTAAAAAAAGCCATCTAATACTATTTTGTCAGTGAAGGAACAGGAGGAAAGGGAACATATACAGCAGAAATAAGAGGACTTACCCATAGACCATGACAGGAATAAGATCACGACCAGATTTTGCAACAATGGGATCAAAACATTCCTGTCAAGAAAGGAGGGCATAAGTAGAGCATTTTTCAATAAAAGAGGTATAAAATGTCACAGAAAGCAAAAATTATTGAAATCCAGCTAAAATATATGCAAAGATGTATGCACTTTAAATGAAAAAGGACTTCCAGTATATGCTGTAAGCCACTGAATGCAGTTCGGTTTTAACTTTTGTCCTCACATAGTTCATCTGTTATATATAATAGGACAGAATACCCTCCTAATGAAATTTGTCTTGATATGATTGGATACCAGCTCCATTGTATGTGTATTATCATGTATTCGAACAAATGATAATATTAAAAAGAACTTACAAAAGACAAACATGTTAGGGTCAGAATAAAGTGCCCTCCAACAGAAACTTAAGATTTTACATGTTTCTTCACTGTACTCTTTGCTGGTTCCATCATTATATCATACTTTAACATATAAATTACCAAAAAACCTTGACAATGTACTGGAAATCAACATATTTAGTATCAACAAAACTTACTCGAAAAATTGCAGCAGCACTTGAAAGCAACGGCAAATGATCTGGATAACGGCTTTTACCACTTAGAATTTGCCACTGAACAGATTCTGCATCTCCATCAACAGATAATCCTTTTTCTAAATGCTTCCTTGATATTGTTTGTAGCAATGAGGAAGGTATCATCTGCACTCCACTGGAAACAGAATTCTGGAGTATCAGAAAGATCCTATTGCAGTCATCACAACAGAACCACTTGTCCTTGGGGATTTCCTGAGAGAGAGAGGGAGTAAGAACCTTGGAAAATCCAGTTAAACATCAAAAATATATAGTGGGGAATTTCAGAGCTTACTTTCAAATCACACAATCCACTATCCCTCAGGCAACCTACATGGAACTCCTTCTCACACTAAAAACACAACAAACCAGTAAGGCAAAGAATGGTGTATTGAAAAAATGAAAAAATGCAATGAGGTTGGGATATTATGCATACTTGGTCACAGAGAATGACTGTTCGATCATCAAACGTAGCGACACTGAAATCTTGTTCCCTGCCAAATTAAAGAAAGAAAATGATCACCCAATTAACACAACTAAGAGGAAGACATCTATTACTAGACTACATGCAGGAAGCTGGTAAACACAAATAAGAATCCACTGAATAAACTGGAAAAATGAAAAAAAAAATTTATATATATATATTCAAAATTTGCTGCTATGGTACATAATGACAGGCTTGAGTACCTCCAGAAAAGACGAAGCATGTGATCCTAAACCTAAGAGCCAGTCCCCAAGGTTTTGATCTTCGGGGTTATCTTAATCCATGACATGTTAGTCAACTTCTGATAAATGTTTACTGTCGAGCTTCATCTTCACCATTTGCTTTGTGATTTTCTAAATCTATGACCTAGAATCAAGTTTTAACCTACCACCACACTTTTTACCAGCAGTACTCTAGCAATGAACACAGTGAAGCCAATTCTCCTCTAAGACAATGAAACTAATTCAATTACCTATTCCTTTTGCCCATAAAATTATGGATTTTTTTTTTAACCTTTAATGGGGTTGTGGAGATCCGAGAAGAATCCTATATTGCTGCTATGTAAGCAGGGCAATTGCATTTTCAAATGAATATCAAGAGCTTACACCTATGAAGCTTGTCAATAGCTCCATATCCAAGCGTGAGTGTCCATGCACATCCATAATTGCATACAATAGACATGCATGCATACTTACATATGGCTGGAGAGGATTTAGTTGGGCATTATGCATTTAACTTGCCGCCTTCTTATTCTAAAAAGAGAGCAAACTCAAAAGCCTGTAATTACCTGCAAACAACACAACCACCAATCTCAAATTCTGGTGCTTTAACGACCCGCGACAAGCGTAAAAAAATTGGTCTTGACATGCTTGGACTTTCTCCAGAAACAGCTTTTCTTCCAGAACCGCATTTATCTCTACAATTTGTACAGTGCCAATCACCTTCAGGAAAGGATGGCAAATTCAAACAAGCTGGAAAGAAAGCAAATTCAGATGAATTAAGACTGAAATAAAACTGACAACAAGAAAGCAAAAACTAAAAAGGGAGAAAAGGAGTGCCTTTGGTAGCCAAGAACAAAAAAAATCAAATTGGCATAATTCTTTTTCTTGCATAATTGAAACGTCAAAGCACAGAAAGTTGAAACAACAAGCCCACACACAATTCACTCTTCTGAAAATAATTCATGCAATATTTGATTGTGAGACCGCTTCAGAGGAAAGATTCCACTGTAATCTTAAATGAGAATTGCTAATGGCAAGTGGATAATGGTTAGAATGTTCTGCAATAAGCAATTTGTAAAGAAGTACCAAAGTGAAGTTGGAGAGGCATTGGCCAAGCCAACATTCACACAAGTTTATAACATAAAAAGAGAGAGAGAGAGAGAGAGAGAGAGAGAGAGAGAGGAGGAGGAGGAGGAGGAGGAAGAGGAGAAGAAAAGGAAATCTCCTCCAGAAAGAGTTCACACACCTGGATGAAATGCCTGAGGACACCCATGGCAAAGAAGCAAATTTCCCCCATCTCCACATATTGCACACATATCATCACTGCCACCGGTAGTAAGTCTTTGTCCTTGCACTAAAGACATGGCTAGATCATGAAGTGTCAGTCCATTAGAAGTATATATGTGACGATACCTGCAATAGGATACAGAAACTTATCAAAGCAGACCCATAGAAATAAAAGAAAAGGAAAAATAAAAAAATAGAATACTCTTGACCACTCACGGTTGTCGCCTAGCAGCCATTCCAGCATGAGCTTCAAATTGTGAAGGACTAATCTGTTCACAAGAAAAAGAAAGGTAAAAAATAATGACATAGTTGAAAAGAAGAGAAAATTAGTTGGCCTAGCATTGAATGCTAAAAATTTACCACTTTATCACAACAACCACAGACTATACCATTTCCCTGCTTGTAGCCCTCAAGTAATCTCTGGAAAAAAGAAAGAAGAAAAGAAACATCAGATTAAACAGAATATTGTCACCTATAGATACCTGAATTTGCGAATCGTTGCATGATGCTACCAAAGATATAAATCCAAACTCCAACCTGTCCTTTGGCATAATAAGCCAATTCAGCACCATCTGGAAGTCCATTTGGCATAAAAAGTAACCGATGTAGGTCATTGTCCCTGCAAATATTATGGGAAAGAATCCATGTTAATTCAGAAAAGTCTACAATCTAATTAGAGGGGAGGGGAAGCACAATACACCCCAATCTACCTCTTCTTGGTGGCACCTTCAGCAGTTCTCTTTTGTTGTATACTAGAATTTGAGACGTGAGAGTATGGCCTACACAACAAGTAATTAGAGATATGGCCAAAAACAAAAGAATCTCTCTTATGTTGAATTAGTATAAGATAAGTTATGCAAACTCTTGAAATCTCCAACAGCATGGTACAACTACAGTAATCATTTTTTGCAGGTTTGTATGTGTTTCTTTGTAAGAGGGAGATAGAGGGTGAACCTTTTTAGAGTGTGTTCCCAGTGTTCTACCATCTCCATGTTTTGCTGTCTAACACTGATGTGGCTATTCTGTGCCCAAGGACAAGAAGCAAGGCTCATTCTTCCTTCCACAGAATTACTAGAACAAGAGAGAATTTGAATAAACGTCAATATTAGCTATAACTAAAGAATCAGAAAACCAAACGCAAGATGACCGACAAGAGTGTTATAGGGAAAGCTTAAAAAAAAAAAAAAATTACCAGTTAAATGACCCCAACACTTGAAAGTGAAAATACCAGTTACACGTCAAACTGGCTTTTGATTCTTACTTCTAATTACAACACAAAAAATAAGAACTAAATCACCAAAGCACCATCTCTGAGTTTTCTAGCTCTTTTGAAGGCTAGGGCAAAACAAAACTTTGTAAAGGTTGAAATATGGATTCAAATAAAAGGAAATTAACAAATTTAATCCACATTCCACACCTTACCTTATAACCATATTCGGCAACCTAGGACGCTTCATATTATCTCTGTTATTAGCTTCATTCATTCCGTTACTTTCCCATAGACTAGCTGCAAAGATCAACAGAAGGTGAAAATCTATTGACTTTTTTTTTTTTTTTGGGGGGGGGGGGGGGGGAGAGAGGAACTTAGCAAGCCATTTTCCCTACTTCATAGAGTAGGTTGATAAAATTTATAGTGATATATTTGTTGAAGGACATGAAATAGTCTCTAACTCTTACCTCACTCCTAACCTCCAATACTATCAAGGTCTAAAAGAAAAAAACACAAAAATATAATCTTTACTTTGTAGTCTGTCCTGCACCACAACAACAACTTTCCTTTCCTTCTGATTGTGTTACTTTACACATGCTAAAGCCAACCGAGGAAAGTTACCCGGAATTTAATTCCTGCCAACAAATTGAATACTCATCTATTCATCTCTTTTCCTTTTTAAGTTGATCTCTTTTATTACATCTACATAATATAACTTTTTAGTTAGAATGTAGGCATTTCAACATGCAGAACCTTATTTTTAGATTTTCTTTTTGCCACTAGTTTCCTTAAAAGGAAAAAAATATATATTGTGGTCTACTTCAACATATTGATTCAAGCAAGCATGCACTCTCAATAAGCCTCAACAAGGCACTAAAATTGATAATTAAGTTCCATAAAGAAAAAATCTCAATTATGCAGGGATACAAAATTAAATAACAAAGATCACCTTTCCAATCCCCAAAGGACTCTTCATTGATGGATGAACCAACCACACTTTTGATGACTTCATCCAGTATTCCAAGTGGAGCAGTTTTTACTTCTTGAATAATACTATAAATTGGCTTTCCATTCTCTAAGTATATGTGATTGTTTGGATGCCTGGTTTTCGCACCAGCATGCTGCTCAAACTCATAAGCACTCAGCACCTGCTCAAGAGTAGCAAAAAATGTAGATACCAGCAATACAGCAGAAACACAAGAAGCAATTGAAAACAACTTGAAAGGGGAGTGGCATGGCATACTTTTGAGAAATTGCATGATGAACATTCGCACAAATATCCACCTCCATGAATAATTCCTTGAAGCACCCTCTGAAAAGTGAAACCATTAAAACTAGGACAAGTTTAAGAAACAACTTAAAGATTACAATCACCAGAAAAATGGTAGAGTACAATGATACCTCTGAGGAAGTAGAAATATACTTCACCCGAGCTCCATCAAGAATGCCAGTTGCCAACAACTTCTTAACATTTGTAGGGTAGCTTCTGGCAACAACCTTCTTAGACATTTTCAGCTCCATATTTGGAGCAAGAGAGTACGGACTGCTCCATCCAACCAACCCATGGCCATAGGTATTTTCAGGGACTAAATTAGATGGTGGTTTATCATAATCCTCTTTTCTTTTACTGAACTTAAAAGTAATTTTTCTAATCCCAGATGAACTGAGATGCTTCGGAATTTCCAAAGTGACAAAAGTTGACACAGGACCAGAAGCGTCAGCAGTTTGAGGGCTATCCGTTCGCGAAGTATCATTTCCATTGGGCCCTCCATCACTCAGACTCTCCTTAGAGCTTGAATTCCCCAAACATGCAGAAGTGACCTCTCCAGCTTGGTTACTACTGCAAACCAATTCAGTAGGTTGGCTAGTTATGTCTTTGGGAGAGCCTAAGGGATTGGAAACCTCTGATTGAATGTCCTCGTTTGAGGTTTCTTTTGCCTGCTTCTTGTTAGGATAGGAGTCCCCTGCAGCTTCTGGTTCGCTATCAGGAAACTCACGGTCTCGCTTACACTCGTTCTTTGAAGCATCTGTACTTCCCGTAGCTCCATCCATCAAGGTTTCCACACAAACTGCTTCTTCTCCCATTCGAGAAAATTTACCCAAGAAATTTCAAAGTCGTGAGTTTGGCAAGATAGATGCCGAATAGAAGCATTCACAAAGGGACCCAAAACCAAATCAATGAGTCCTAAAACTCAGAGCGGTATAAGGACTGAACTTGTAATTTCATGCAAATTAGCAAATTCGTATTTGAATGAAGAATTTGCGACCAAAACCTAAACCACCATTGCTCAAGCACACCTTATTCAAGAATAAACAAGAAGGAATCGACTCAAGCAATCATCAATAACTGCTAAACCGCAATTTGAAGCACATCAGAATCACATGCAAGATTCAACCAACACTCGCTTATATGAAGCCAAGAATCAACTGAAATCTACAGAAATCGAATCGAAAGAACCACAAGATCGAAGACTCATACAGTTCTTCTAAATCTAATAGCCAAACACAAACAGGACTTGAAACTTGAAACTTGAAAGCCAGATTTGAAATCCAGCAGATCTAAAGTTCGAGAAAAAGTATGAAGAATAATTAAAATTAATCGATTTGAAAAGAGGAAAACATAGTGATTTAGGGTTAGGGTTTTGAATCTGCCTCTGAAAATTTACAGAGGGAAGAGAGATGGCGGCAACAAATCAGAACGAAAAGCTTCTTTCGCGGTCCAGATTTAACTTTTTAAAAGAAAGAAAAAAGATGGAGTGAGGAAGAGGGAAAAAAAAAATCCATTTATTTATTAAAAGAAAAAGGAAAAGGGAAATTTCAGTTGCTGACGATGTTTTGGAATTTGGAAGGTACCAGAAGAGAGAAAGACCAACGGATAGCATGGCCAAGGCGGGACTGGGACCGTTTATACTGATGATGGCATCAGTGGACCTACGAGGTTTATCCACGTGGGAAAGACTGCGGTGATTACGTGGACACTGAGACAATGTTAGGTGAGATGTCATGTCTGAAACACGTGTAGAATCTGATCGTTAACAGTGACACGTGTAGTAATTTGCTTGGGCCTTTGTGTATGAGCTGTTGGAGATTTTGGGATTGGGACCAAACGAAACTGGGCTGGTAGAACACGACAGGCGAGACCATTCCACCGGGATTAGTTCTGCCCAATGGGCCAATGTTGTACAACATCGGGCTTTCACATAAAATTTGTCGGAGAATCAGCTCAATTTGATCCGTTTGTTACCGTGTAGAACATGGAATGTTTGAGGATAGAT